TATAGATATTTTATTATTAATCCCATGTAATGGATAAAAAAGAAAGGACAAATTATCTGGCAAGGTCCTACAGCTAGTAAGTGATGTAAGCTCTTAATTACCATGCCACTCATCTCCTAGGGAAAAAAATAATGTATTTAAAAAATCCATTTAATCACTGAAAAAAAAATTGAGTTTAGTGTATATGACATATTCTTTTTTAGGGTGCCAGGCAATAGAAATGCTTATAAATACTAATGGGAATAAATCAAATACATAGGCAAAAAGAATAAAAACTAGGTTAAGGTAGTTAACTACCTTAATCAAGGTAACTGGGCTTCTCTCGTAGCTCAGTTGGTAAAGAATCTGCCTGCAATGCAGGAGACCAGGGTTTGATTCTTGGGTCAGGACGATCCCCTGGAGAAGGAAATGGCTACCCACTCCAGTATTCTTGCCTGGAGAATTCCATGGATGGAAGAGCCCGGCAGATTACAGCTCATGGGGTCAAAAGAGTCGGACACGACTGAGCGACTGAGCACACAGCAGACAATCAAGGTAACTGGATCCTAAATAATATTGCGAGTAATATTTTGAGCAAAGCTAAGGCTTCCACTTAGCCAATTTAGACTGCATACCCCAGGAGCACCACATTTAATTTCAATTTCCAGCTTTAAATGGGATACAGGGAAGCCATGCCAATAGCCAGCTTGATTTAGTAGTTAAGAATGTGGGCTCTGGAATCTATTTCAAAAGAGAAATAACTTCATAAAAATTAGAGCTTTCCAAAAACAGAATGGGATTTTCAAAATTAGAAATTTACTTAGATATATTGTAGGGAGACTGAAAGAATCTTGGTCAAAATCATCTTTTGAACTTTCTTCAAAACAATATTTTATAAAAATAAAATTAACTTTAGAAAATTACATAAAGCAATTGTTCCTCCTTATAAAAGTCAACAATTTCAAATAGCTTCACTGTTGAATTAAAAAACTGTCTACAATTTCTAGCCCATGTTCATCCTTCAATTTTCTGAACTACTAGAATCCTGGAAAATACAGTATGCTTACACTTGGAAAATATGTAGTTTAAAATTGCCTTTAGCACTTTCAATTGATTTTTTTTAAATTTCAAAATAATAACCAATGCTGGGAGACTAAAGCTTATATATTACATTGTTCTTCTATACTCTATTATTTCACTTACCACATTGATGGAGAAAAAGCAAATGCCCAACAAATAGTGAGTGTCTGTTCAAATCTAAAGCATACTCTACCAGGCACTTCAAAATAAATTCAAGAAGCTTGTTTTGAATAGCTGTACTTTACTTGTATAACCAAAAGTTAGAGAGTAAAATTAACAAGCATTTTATAAATATATATCTAAGTCTTCAACATTGGTACAAATAATAGCTTCAATAGATTTAGTTATAGATAGACCTTTTGCAATAAAAAAGAACATTTTGAGAAATGGTCCATTTTGAAAAAACTGTAAGATTTATCAGTAGTAGTTTTTACCCCATACCAGAAGCGTAATCTATGTAGCTTTATTAAAAATTAAACTTGACAGAATTATAAACTTTTAGTTAGAAGATGCATAAATTCAACAGATTTGACTTACAGCACAGTGGCTACGATTAATACCATATTGTACACTTGGAATTTGCTGAGAATAAATCTCAAGTGTTCATACCAGAAAAAAAGGTAACTATGTAATGTTATAGATAAGTATTAATTTGCTTGTACACTTTAAATATATTCTATTTGTCAATTAAAAATTAAACTTCATAAAATATGTATACTACAGAATGCTTAGAGTATTGTATATTTGTTGCATGACACATTTCAGTATTAGAATAATTGTTTTCTTCATATTTATCTATAATATGCAAAGAACTATTAATTCAGTTGGTATAATAGATTAAATATATAAGTCATTCTGTAGATGTGTTTGGTTATTTCTTTATATAAATTAAAGTCACTTTCTGTTTATGACCCCTGTTCCACAAAAGTAAAATCAAGATTTAAATATATATTGCATTTCCCCCCAAAATGGAGAAAGAACTCTTAATACTCTCTAAACTTCAGAAGTCTAGTCTATTTAAACTCTTGAACCTTTGAAAAGTGACTCTATTTGAAATACAAAGAAACAGATCTTTTCAGAACTTTAATTTAGTACAGCTTAAAGGCAAAAAATGCATAACTAATTTTACCAGCGAGTTATCGTATTTTTCTCTAATCTGTTATAGCTAGAGAGAACAAGCCCAGGTAAATTAAGATATTAAGCTTTAAAAATAAAAGCTTAAGACCCTATATAATAGGCTCTATGTTCATCCACATCATGAGAACTGACTCAAAGGCGTTCCCCATTATACAGACTGAAGTAAGTCAGAAAGAGAAAAACATATACATGGAATCTAGAAAGATGGTACTTATGAACCTATCTACAGGGCAACTATGGAGCTGCAGACATAGAGAAGGACTTACGGTGGTGAGGGGATGGAGGTGGCGGGACGAATGGGGAGAGTCACATGGAAGCATATATACTACCATGTGTAAAACAGATAACCAACGGGAATTTGCTGGATGACTCGGGGAACTCATAACAACCTAGAGGGGTGGGAAGGAGTGAGAGGCTGGAGGGGGCTTCAAGAGGGAGGGGAAACATGTATTCCTACGGCTGACTCATGCTGATGAATGGCAGAGGCCAACACAATATTGGGAAGCAATTTTCCTTCCATTAAAAATGAGTAAGTTTGGGGAAAAAAACTTAAAACCAAATTTTTAGAAGCACTGAATTCTCTGAAAAAAAAAAAAACAATAAACAATAAAACACTATGGGTTTTTGTGTCAGAATGCCTGGATCTGAAAGCAGGATACATCAGTTAAGCAAACTTTAGCAAGTTATGTACTCTCCCTAAACCTAATTTCTTATGTAAAGGGTGTTTAACAGTATCATTTATCCTTATAAAACTATAATCCTTTAATAGTATAAAGCATCTAAATCATTTTGAATTTGTGCTTGGCATACAGTAAACATTATGCAAATGTTTTAAATTAGTATTATCATTAGTAGCACATCTGTTTAGTCATAGTCCATTTTTATGATAATAGCCCTGGACAACCAAACAAGCCATTTAAAGAACAGAATATAAAGCAGATTTTCTCTGCCAAGGGCTTTCTTGGTGCTACAGAATATGTTAGCCCCACAAGGGAAATGAACAGAACCCAGAGGTTCCACTGACTGCAGCCCTCTTCCCTATGTGGCAGCCACAGCTAGCTGGAAGTCAGGATTATGTGCGGCCACATATCTGTGTGTGTGTGTGTGTGTGTGTGCCACATATCTGTGTGTGTGTGTGTATGTGTGTGTGCACGAGCGCGCGTGTTTTAGCTCTCAGTTGTGGCCTACTCTTTGTGACCCCATGGACTGTAGCCTGCCAGGCTCCACTATCCATGGGATTCTCCAGGCAAGAATGCTGGAGTGGGTTGCCATTCCCTTCTCCAGGGGATCTTCCCAGCTCAGTGATTGAACCCGGGTCTCCTGCACTGCAGGCAGATTCTTTACTATCTGAGCCACCACAGAAGCCCAGCCATATGTCTAATGCTCTACAATTATATGTTCTAGAACCATGATGCAGAACAGACTAAACCAGGACCTGGGAGACAGTACATCAGGATATGGGAGACAGAGGTCCATAAAATGCTGACATCTAAACCAGTCGCCTCCCAAATTAGAGGAAAAACATTTTGAACATGCAGCTTGAGATAAGTGTATCATTTATGGGTAAGATTTACTGTACTGAGAAAGTATATTATAAAACATTCTGAAGAAAAAAATTAACAGCAGGCCGGAACTTTGCTCCACATACTGTCTCCCTGGAAACATCCGGGTTATGACAAACAAGAAGTGACAGCTGTGTTACCAGTCAGCAATGTTTGTTACCGAAGGAACACATCTGGACGAGGAGGATGCTGACTCAGCTTCCTGATGCAGTGTGTGCTAGCAACCGAGAGCATCCCTTTAGGAAAGCTGGATCGTCATCAAGAGGCTGATTCCCGTGGAGCACGAGCCTTCCCCAAGGCGAAGTAGCCCTTATCTACCCATATGATCTCATCTTAAAACTCAGTTACTACATAGGAGGTAATGCAGAGAAGGTAGAAAACGGTTCCTGAACATCTAGAGGGACTCCCACTGAAGAAGCATCTGACATTATCCTGCTGACATTCTATTTCCGGTCCTGTATCCTTCTACTAAACCAAGTGAATCTGGTGCTGAACAATAGTGTCATACTAGTGTGTGTGTTAAAACCACAGATCCACTATGTTGATCATACAATGTACATACACAAAAAGTAATGTGTATGTACATACACATAATGAATTATTTTAAGCACCATACATTTGAGTATACTGCTTGGGTCCATGTACATTTCAGAGTATTTGGGGTATATTCTTTGTAACCACTTGGAAGCTATAGCTTTTCCCTCTGTGATTTTCTGGTGTTTTTCACAGATGTTTTTCTTTGGTCCTTGTAAATCCTTGGCTTTCTCTGCAAATACTAGTGCCCCTAGGACTTCTTAAACTAAAAATTGGTAACTCCATTGTTATAAACTCTAACAGCAAAACATAAGGAATTCCTGAAAATTCAAACATTAAACACATTGAAGTTCTTCACTTCCTGCTCATTTTCTTTTAAAGTTTATCAAGATATAACTACAATAGTATACATATATCCCTTCCAATGAAATTTTTTTTTAAAAAATTAGAAGAAAAGATATAATTATAGAAGGCTTTAAAATCTACAACATTGTGGGAGAAGTAATTTTGTCTTTCCATTTTAATATACTTTTAGGCTAGTTTCATTAAAACATGCTACGTCCAAAATAGAACAATTCATCCCACTCGACACTACCCTCAATTCCAGTAAGCAAACAATTTTGCCATTTCCTATGAAAATTTCTATAGACTTATCTTTCATCACCCCATTTTAAAGCACATGTGGTTTTTAAAAGTTATTAAACTTACCCTGATACATGTAACATCAGCAACATGTAGAAGACAAAGAAGAGATTATGAGTATACCAGAAGATGTCATAGTTAGAAACTCTGAAAAAAAAAATAACTTAATTTCAATTTCACTTCCTACTCCATCTCTATAAAACAAGCAAGCGTCCTTTCAAATACATGTCACTACTGAAAGTTGAAATATGAGTTCATGTGAGATTTATTTATTAATATCAACAAATTAGCATACCATTGCAGAAAACTGAAGAAATTATAAGCAACACTTTATCATCTTGAAGATTATTTGCATTTCAAATAAAGGTACACAGAAAAAATTAAAATCAGGTGTTTATTTTTAAATTATTATGATGTAAGGCTAAGGAGCAGGCAGCAGTCTGCTAACGTGTACTACTGCTGCCTTTATCTATCAATATTCTCAACTTTCAAATGATTTAAAAACAACTAATGTTTCTATCCTAATATGTATTTTGAGAGTAGTTCAAAGGAAATTCAGATGGAGATAAAGTAAATAAATGCTCATCAAGATTTTATATGATTTTTCTAGACAGTACATAACTTTAAAACCTTGTGTTACTGCCCTGGGGGAAGACCAAGATTTTAAAAAGGGAGGGGTATAATCAACACAGCCTATAAAATGCTTGAAAGAAGTAAAAAGACTATCAGTTACTTATTTCATATACCTGAGTGGATGTTCATATATTAGACTCAGAGGTGGAGGGAAGCTACCTGAAAAAAGCTTAGATGATTCTCATACAACCCCCAAAACCTTTTAGAACCCCCAGTTTAGGCAATAACCAATATAGTCACATCTACTCCAGTCACAGATTGCTACCACAAACAAGATCCGTAACACCCTTATAATATAAACTTTCTTGCATAGATCCGATTTTTTTAATCTAAATTTCTAAAAGTGGAATTACATCAAAGGACACACACTGTGCAAGGTTTTTGATATACACTCCCCATTGCTCTATAAAACATGTTTATCAATCAAGAACCCAATCATAGAAGTAGGAGTGCCCATCTCCCCGAACCCAGACTTGACTTCATACATCTCCAGTATCTTGGAATAGGGTATTATTTCATTTGTGTGTTACTTGCTTTCAATTCTTCTGTGACTTACCTGTTCACAGTAATTATCCATTTCTACAGCATATTTCTCAACTGTTGCAAGTAAACCTATTCAAATTTAAGAACGTACTAGTTCCATAGCAGGGCTTCCCAGGAGGCACTGCTGGTAAAGAACCCGCCTGTCAATGCAGGAGACATAGAGACACAGGTTCCATCCCTGGGTCGGGAAGATCCCCTGGAGGAGGGCATGGCAACCCACTCCAGCGTTCCTTCCTGAAGAATGGAAGAGGAGCCTGGTGGGCAACAGTCCACAGGCTCCCAGAGTCAGACACGACTGAAGAGCTTAACAAGCATGCAAAACTCCATGTAGGTGTAATAATTTTCCCAGTAACATGTTTACTTTCCAATTTTTATATGTATATTGACATTCAGGAGTTTTAGTTTTCATATTTTTAGATAGCTAAATATTTCCTATATTTCCCCTTGTCGATTATGAGCACTGATAAATATAACTTAAAGTTTCCTCCAAATCTTCAGTGGTGCAATTTTTCACAGTTAACTTTGTCACTGAGCTAGAATTTCATTCACTTAAGCCTTCCTTTCCTCACAAGCTTGTAATGGCACCTTATTGACTTGGCAGGTTCTCACATATGGCAAAGTCCTCTTCAAGGCTTTCTACCAACTATCACTTAGTTCAAGGCCTTGGTCATTTTTGCAAGTAAGTCTTATTCTGCTTTTATTAATTAAAGTATAGTTTTCTTATAATATTATATTAGTTTCAGGTGTACATTATAGTAATGCCCTATTCTAAGTTATTGAGGCATATTTTTTTAATGTTTAGTAAACCACATCTTCCTTTTATTCCACTTGGGAATATTTACTTGAAACGTCCCCATACTCAAATCCTTCTCACTCAGAAATTTGACTGAAAGATTTTTCCGAAACAGGAAATTATATGTAGAAATGTCTCTATTTCCCTTTGAGTTACACAGGAACCAGAATACTGCATCAAGTAAGCATTTGGGTTAATCAAGACACTTTCTACATATGAAAATGAAGATAATCTGAAGGAAATCTAAATAGTCTGACCAAGAAGCATCAAAATAATGGCTCTGACACTCACCGTATCGCATATGTTGAAGCTGTAATCATCAAGAACAGCACCAGTACCATGCAGACTCCTGTCAGGCCAGGAACTATAAAAATATACATAAGTACATTTTAACTTAAGTCATACTGAGAAAAAAGGTACAAAAAATTATTACCTTAAAATTCAAAGTACTAGGCTGCTCTGTGGGAAGCCTAATTGAAATCATCTATCTCCTAGCATGTTCTCTGTCAAAAAAAACTTTTTTTTTTAATTAGCATTAGTTTCAAGGTACTTAAGACAGAGTAGAATCTTTTCCACCTTTAACAGAAAAGTCCCTTTTGGTATTTTCAAATATTCCAATCAGAATGGTGACTATATTCATACTTTTACAGGAACACACTATAGCAAACATCAATAACTAATGCAACAGAACACAGTTGACATCCAACATCCTAACTGTTTTGGTTTTCTCCATCAGAGTCAATGTCAAATAATTTCTTTTGGACTTCACTATCTAGAAAAAATTTCCAGAAAAAATAAGCAAAACCTGAATCTTTCTAAAAACCACAACTTCAAGTGTAGAACAAAACATGGTGAAAGTGAAGAAAAAAGTTACAGTGCTGATTTTTCAAGAATACTCTCAGACATAATCCCCCTTAGAATGGAAAACATTTTAAAATCAGTGTTTCTGATATTACATAACACTTGTTCTTAAAAAGAAAGCATGCAAACATGTCATTTTACAAAATTAATACTGGTTTAATAGATTGCTATAAACCTAGTGTTAGCTCATAGAGGACATCCAAAATGAATAGGTGATATGCTATATCAAAGAGTGAAAAATCACAGTAGTCTCATTCCTTATTATCTTATTACTATCAAATAAAATATTGTCTATAATTTACCTTTATTTACTCTTACAATCATATTAGCAACAATAAGTACTAAATGACCTAGCTAAGAAAGTCCATCTCAAATCTTTCTAGAAAAGGAATGAAAACAATTCTGTCTCCAAAAGTACAGACACCTCCCCACTCTTCTTCTTGACAAGGAAGCACCTACGAAACAGAAGGCCCATCAGGGAACGAGAGCCATCAGCAGAAGCAAACAAGCTGGGGGCGATACCAGGGCAATGCTGACATGCATCATTAGGATCACAGAGGGTGTAGGATGGTTGGAAAATAATACTGGAAATTCCAATACGGTAGAGACAAGTTTCCACTTGTAAACGGCCACGTGAGAAATAAGGAGTCAGTCTATGGGACTTAATACTTGAGTACGCCCTCCTTTTCACTCTTCCCAGGATACAGATTTGGAAGCCTAACAAAACTTGCCTTTCCCTGATGTCCCAATCCAAATCATCTGCCCTCTAACTTCTTTCATAGGGCACTCCCTTTCCTATTGTCTCTCCCATTGCTTTACCTCCTAGGGGTAACAGAAGAGCAAGATAAGTTCACTAGTTCACACGAAAGGATTAATAGCACTATTTAAAAAGAACAGCAGGCCTACAAAATGACCAAGCCTTTCTTCTTCCAAACACTTATCCCCCCAAAACACAAACATATCCACCCCAAGCTTGTCCAAAAATATTCATTAACCACTTTAATACTCAAGGCCTATAAACAATTCAAATCTCCATCAACAGATGGATGAATAAATCATTATTTATTGTGCCTGAAAAATTAATCAGCAGTTTAAAAAAATGACATATACCTACGCATATGAACCCAGATGAACCACAAAATTATTAGTATGAGTGAAAAAATCAGACTCCCCCCCCAAAGAACCCTGAAAGAATATAAGCTCTATGATTTCTTTTATACAACATTCTAGAAAATTCAAAGCATTCTTTAGTGGTAGAAAGCAGATCCGTAACTAGGAGGGGAGACAGCAGGATGCATTACAAAAGATCACAAAATATTTTTAGAATGATGGACTTATTTGTTATCTTGATTTTGATCATGGTTTCTTACGTATATACATATGTCAAAAGTGATCAAATAACATACTTTACATATGTATAATTTAGAGTACTTCAGTTATAACTCAAATTTAAAGAAGAAAAAAGAGAGAAGGTCCATCTCTCTGGCTCCAAGTAATTTAAAAAATCCATATCTGCCCAAATGAATAAATAAATGATAGAATGCCAGATGGCTCTATAATGTGAAATTTGTGGTTGGAGAGGCCTTTCAAGTAATTTCATTGAGGCTTCATGAATGTCTACTGTGTCTACATACAAGGTTTCCTGTATATAGTCCTGAACATGCCTAAATTAGTTTTAGAATGTCTGCAAATCACTTCATCAGGACACCTGAAAAAATGGAGCATGTTTAGAATAGAGGTATAAGTTCCAAAGGGTATTATTTGAACATCAATTCTTTTAGGCATTAATTTCCAGTGATCAAAAATGCTATAACTATTCCTTGAAGAATCACAGGGCACATTAATGTAAATTTTCTGAGAGGTACTAAAGTCAAGAAACCAGCTTAAATTTGAACAAATACTTCCCCAAACATTGAACTCAAGCATTCCTTTTAGAGCAGACTATGGAAAACACATTAGAAAGACTTAGGGTGAAATAGTTGACCTCAGCCATTTGAAATTAAGATGAAATAGAAGCCTCAAATAACCTAGGCCATATGTGTATATCCTGGAATTATAGCCCTGTTACTATCCCTTAAGCTAAATCCCAATCTCACTGAATCGCATCTGTAAACTAAGGAGAATCAATTCAATGCTTTTTAATATTCTTTCAGATTTAAGACGTTATCTTTCTTTTCAAAAGAATTCATTTTTCCTTTCTCTCTTCCAGAAGTACAAAAATTACAGAGTTTGCAATTTATAAAGTAATAGACTTCATAGCAATGAAGAAAAACTGACTTATAATTAGCAATGAGAAGAAAAAAATTACAATCAAAGTGGTCCAATAAAATGGCGGGATGGGTAACTTAAAAACCAAAGAGGAGAGAGCGGGGGAGATAAATTAGGATTTATGGATTAATATATGTACATTATTATATATAAAATAAGTAAACAGCAAAGACATACTGCATAGCACAAGGAACTATACTCACTATCTTGTAATAACTTATAGTGGAAAAGAATCTGAAAAATATATATTACATATACACAAACACACATATATACATATACACACACATATATATGCATGTATAACTGAATCACTTTCCTATACACTTGAAACTAACACAACATTGAAAATTAACTATACTTCAGTTTTAAAAAAGCTAGGATTTTCTGTCACTGGAATTAAAGAGAGACTGGCCTACAAATTATCTAGAATGTTGCAGAGACTATCTATGTAACAAGTAGAAAAGTGTAAAAACAAATGACTTTTCTACAAATGACCCAATTTCATTCATTTTTAAGGCTGAGTAATATTCCATTGTATATATTATATACTACAACTTCTTTATCCATTCATCTGTAACATTTAGGTTACTTCCATGTGCTGGCTATTATAAATAGTGCTGCAATGAACACTGGGGTGTGTATGTCCTTTTTTAATATTTATTTATTTTTAATCGACTGTTTGGTTTACAAAATTGGTTTCAATTCTGTCATACATTAACATGAATTACCCATAGGTGTACATTCTTCCTGGAGAAGGCAATGGCAGCCCATTCCACTACTCTTGCCTGGAAAATCCCATGGACAGAGGAGCCTGGTAGGCTGCAGTCCATTGGGTCGCTACGTATCGGACACGACTGAGCGACTTCACTTTCACTTTTCACTTTCATGCATTGGAGAAGGAAATGGCAACCCACTCCAGTGTTCTTGCCTGGAGAATCCCAGGGAAGGGGGGAGCCTGGTGGGCTGCCGTCTATGGGGTCGCACAGGGTTGGACACGACTGAAGCGACTTAGCAGCAGCAGTGGTACATTCTTCCCCTCATGTGTCTTTTTGAATTATGGTTTACTCAGGGTCTATACTTATTAGTGGGCTTCCCTCATAGCTCAGTTGGCAAAGAATCTGCCTGCAATGCACGAGACGCGGGCTCGATTCCTGGATGGGGAAGATCCCCTGGCGAAGGAACAGGCAACCCACTCCAGTACTCTTGCCTATAGAATCCCCGTGGACAGAGGAGCCTGGCAGGCTACAGTCCACGGGGTCACAAGAGTTGGACATGACTTAGCAACTAAACCACCACCACTCCCAGTAGTGGGGTTGCTGGGTCATATGATAGTTCTAGTTTTAGTTTTTAAGGAACCTCCACACTGTTCTCCATGAAAGTGTTAGTCTCTCATTTGTTTCTGACTCTTTGAGACTCCATGGGCTGCAGCCCACCAGGCTCCTCTGTCCATGGAATTCTCCAGGCAAGAATACCAGAGTGGGTAGCCAAGCCCTCCTCCAGGGGATTTTCCTGACCCAGGGATCGAACCCAGGTCTCCCTCACTGCAGGCAGATTCTTAACCATCTGAGGCACCATAGTGGCTGATTTACATTCCCATCAGCAGTGCAAGAGGGTTCCCTTTTCTCCACACCCTTTCCAGAAACCAACACAACATTATAAAGCAATTATGCTCCCTTTAAAAAAGGCCAAGAAAATGACTTTTATCCATTCAGGGACTACTTTCTGGGCATCTGTATTGCACAGTCAAGTGCTAGAGTAAAAATGAATTGTGCTCTAAAAGAAATCTCAGTCCAGTGTGGGAGACACGATAAGCAGGCAGTTGCAATGTAAGGTATTGAGTGCTGAAAGAGAGCCAGACATTGAGTATTTTCAAGGTACATCAAAGGGCATCCTAACCTAGCCTTGGATAATAGCTCAGCCAAGTCCCAGTAAACTAGCCTCTATTACCACACATATCCCAAGAGTCAGGAAGCACAGATTAGAAAGTATTGGGCTAGTCTAAGTTCACTGGGCAGTCACTTAGCAAAAGAAGTACACTGTGAACTCTCAGTCTTCAAGTTTTAAAGCAAAATCTATACTTGCTTTCTTAGGGAAAAAAGGGTTTATTACGTTTACTCTTATTGTTTTTGATCTATGCATATTAGGTTAATTAGTAGCCCGTAAAATGAATGACTGCACTACATTGCCATTTATAGATGAACTGAAAGATCATTTTCATCCCTACCCAGATGTAGTCAGAAATATACCATCTTGTATTCATCATCCTGTTTTTACCAAGATAATTGGAGACATAACTGTGTTTGTTTATAAGGGTTTTTCTAATTGAAATTGGATATTGAGCATTTTATTCTCATCATACAAGTACTACCAAATTTGGAGATATGTAGCATGCATTTTTAAATGTTTGAATAATTCAATCTATTAAATTTATTCTATAAGTTCCTAATTGGAATGTTTCTAACATTTATTTAGTGAGTCAAAATACCACAGAGGAGCTTTAGCATCATATTTAGGGGGATTGGGTCTGTGTTCCTGGGAAATAGATGGCACTTGATGAAAAGTATAATATTTCTTTCATCAAATTTTATGGAACTGGGCCATCAAAGTGATACCGACATGCTGATCTGGGGCAGTTCAAGTTGCTTGTATTGAGAGAAACTCCACAAAATGTTTTCTCTGCATGCTCTGCGGGTGGCCCTGTTCCACTGTGAAGAAATTGATTTCAAGTGGAAAACAACATATACGTAGGTAATAAATTATTCTACAGTATATGGAAGGAAGCCAATTATTCATAGTATTTTACCATGTATCTTTAGGGGCCCAAGCCAAGAAGGGATCAGCTCTGCTTAGGGGAATTAGGGAGAAACCTGTGCATAATGGGGTATGTCAACTGACACTTAAAGGATGAGTGAGAGTTGAACAGGTGAAGAAAGGAGAGTAAGAGAGGAGGTAAAAGGTAGGTATGGTGAGAAGTTATGCTCAGGAATATAATCAGATGCTCAGTAAAGGTAAAACAGTACTGGGAAGGTTAATAAAACACATTGCCAGGTCCCAACTTGGTCTCTCTCTAGGGTGAAACCAGGAATTCGTGTTTTTAAGTATAATATTACCTCTATTTTGCCCAACACACTCATAGGAACTTTTGAGAAAGAATACAGGATGATGGTATTTCATGTTAGGGGTACAGATCACCTACTTATAAGCATTAATTTTACTAAGTTTCTTAATGTAATATCTTTGCCATATAAGAGATTTTTTATGTTTTTATAAACTAAACTTTTTAAAGCATTTCTAATGTTTCATCTATATTCTATGCAGTAAAAGAATATTAAAACAAAGTTCTTATTTATTTCTCTTAAATTGATCCATATGAACCAAAAAATACATTGACTCATACATAAGGTTTTATTTTTCTGCTTTTCCTCCATTCTGTTCTCATCCAATTCTTAATGCTTTAATAAAAACATGTTTTCAATGAGCAAAGTTGTAAACAAAACTAAATGGTGTTCCTAAGGAGAAAACTGTGAAATATGTACTTTGCAAATGGAAAAAAATTATAATGTATAGGCAGAAAATATATATTATAAATATGTAGATGTGGCATGAAAGGGAAAACACCTGAATTATTATTTTTCTTCATAAGACTGATGAAAAAAGAAACAATGCATTTGACAGAGCCATGTCTCAGTCCTGTATGCAATTCTGATCCTTAATGAGACAGTACAGCCAAGACTCTATGACAGACCACCTCCCATCCACAATCATCATGTCTCTGAAACAGGTGCTAAAAATCCCCCACATACAGTCTCCTTTTCATTATTATAAACGTAAGATTGAGACAGAGAAAAAATAACTAGAACTGTACTAACACCAGGGCCAAATTCTGAGATGTTCAAATGCACTTTAACAAATAGTCTAGACTGAGATTTTACGGACAACATGTTTACTTATTTTAGCGACTGTTTCTCCTCTTCCTTATAGGTTTTAAGATCAGAAAATGTCCTACTAAATTACTAAATATTAAGAACTACACTGATACTCAGAGTGCTTGGTGTTTTTTCTCCAAAACTTCAAAAACAAAAACTCATTCCCTCTGTATTATCTCCAATAGTACTTGTCATAACAGCGGGCACATGGCAGCCACTCCTAAGCCCATGGTCTTATATAATTTCCATTGAAAAAATATATGAAAGGCAAATACATTTGCTTAATTTTACTCTTCATTCCTTTGAACCCTAGTGGTTCGCCCTGGCTCTTGGTTTCATTGAAACCTTATGCTTGAACAGTTGCTTGACATGAACATTTCCCATGTGGTATTTTAGCATATATATAAACACAGTATAGAAGCTGCAGTGATAACAACTTACCAGTTGTGAAGAGCAGTTTTCTAGGATCCTGAAAAAAAAAGAAAAAAAAATGTCTGAAAAATAAAACACTGATGAACACAAAATTCTGCAAGGAGTCTGTGAGCGATAAGAGCCATGTGTTAGGCATGTAGGAAACTGTCCTCCCAATGGAAATAACAGATTCAATTAAGTTTCATAATGTTTTTACAATGCTAGAGGAGATTATGGTGGTGGTGGTGTTAGTTGTTCCGTCATTTCCTACTCTTTGCGACCCCATGGACTGTAGCCCACCAGGCTCCTCTGTCCATGGCATTCTCCAGGCAAGAATACTGGAGTGGGTTGCTATTCCCTTCTCCAGGGGATCTTCCCAACCCAGGGATTGAACTCAGGTATCCTAATTTACAGGCAGATTCTTTACTGTCTGAGCCACCAGAGAAGCCCAGAGGAGATTATCATACATACAAAATCCAATTCCAAGGAACGTATCCATTTGAAAAGGGAAGAATATTGGTCAGAAGGTCCAAGCTTTCATCTTAATGGTCAATTATAGGATAGCAGGAGTGGCCTGAAGCCCACCCTTTGATCATTCTGGGATTCAATACTTTTAGCTATAATGTGGAAACATTAATATATGCTCTGTCTACAACTGCCAACTACACCTATGAAGTCGCTCAGTCATGTCTGACTCTTTGCAATCCCATGGACTGTAGCCTACCAGGCTCCTCTGTCCGTGGGATTTTCCAGGCAACTGCACCTAGCAAGTGTCAAAACAGTGAGAATCAAAAAAGTAATAAAATATATGGAGGGGGTTATGTTGTGCAAATTCAATGCAGAGAATACTGAGAACTAAAATGTTTCAAATGCTACTGTGAAAAGTAGTGATAATATTCAAATAAGGAAGACAGCTTCCTTCTAATTAGAAATACATTAATATTGTTACTGGAATATTTCCTTTAAACTATATCCCCATGGTATAATGAACTGAAATCAATTCCCTTCTCTCTTCTGGAAATCTTAGATCAATGCCCAGTAGAATGTGGATTAATTTTTTATCCAAAGGGGCCTAATACTGTACAACTTATGAATTACTTTTCTCATGTCTCCATTGAATCTGTGGCCAGACCAAGCTATATACAAAGTAGGAAGCCATTTAAATAATTTCAGGGACCCTCAATAAGGACCATTTGCCCAAAAATAGCTCCTCATCCAGCTTAGGTTCAATGGCTTCTAGTTAGAAACATAGCATTAAAAACAGGACTAAAGGCTAATCTAGAGTATCAAAGTGTCAGTTGCTCAGTTGTGTCTGACTCTTTGTGACCCCATGGACTGTAGCCCGCCAGGCTCCTCTGTCCATGAAATTTTCCAGGCAAGAATACTGGAGCGTGTAGTCATTCCCTTCTCCTGGGCATCTTCCCGACCCAGGGATCGAATCCAGGTCTGCTGCATTACAGGCAGATTCTTGACCATCGGAACCACTACTGCTGCTGCTGCTAAGTCACTTCAGTCGTGTCCGACTCTGTGCAACCCCATAAAGGGCAGCCCACCAGGCTCCACCGTCCCTGGGATTTTCCAGGCAAGAACACTGGAGTGGGTTGCCATTTCCTTCTCCGTCTGAACTACTAGGGAGGCCCATAATCCTGAGGAACCTAATACATAAACAACTAGGAAAAACACAAGATAGACTGAACAAAGTGGTAATACCAGAAATATGAATAACTAGCTAGGAAACCTCAGAAGATGAATAAAACTGCTAGGGAATGAAGACGGGGTATAAGAGTAAGAGACTGTTTCACAGATGACAAGATGAGGCCAACTGAGCTATTGCATTAGGAATGTGCCACCCATCACAAACTGGAGAATGAAGGGGTCCCTGGGGACGTGGAGAAAACAAGAGTGTAAGCACACAGCAAGAACACAAAAGCATCCTTTCCAAAGACAAGTCACAGAAGAATACAACTGTTCATATGTGTATTATCTCTTTGTGAATGTGTGTGTATTTTTTCATCTTAATCTAGTACATGGCCTGATACCTACCAGGCACTCAAAAATATTTATTAAAAGAAAGAAGAAGGGGAGAGAGACATGACTGAATAAGCAAAGGAAGGGAGGAAAGATGGGGGAAAAAAGGAAAATGTAAATTAAAATGAATTACTATTTTTCATCCATCTTATCAGCAGTATTTTTTAAGAAACAAGTGAGGTGTAAAAATAAGCATTGCAATAAAATTGGTAGAGTGTATCAACTGGTGAAGGTTTCTTGGAAAGTAATTTGTCCAACAAAACTAAAAATGTGTGTGCCTTTGAAACCAAAATTACTTCTATAAATCTGCCTAGCAGAACTGTACAAAAAAAAAATAAATTTATTATCATGCAGTTTATGACAAAAACCTGGAATTAGCTCAACATTCGTGAATAAGAAAATGACTAAAAATAAATTATGGTATATTTGTATGAAGAAGATAAGGTATATGTATACTTTCTGATACAGTAAGTCACAATACATATATTTACAAATTGCTATTGCTAAAGAATATATATCATAAAATACTACTCAAAAGAAGAAAACATAAAATCATTACCTGTGGCTATTTTTGGAGGAGAAGCTTTCACTTTCCACTTACTTGGGAGTTCTAAAATATTTTTACATTAAGTCTCTATCTCTCTTAAACTGAAATAAATTTAATCCTAAAATCCTAGAAATCCTAAAATGACTAGAATACTGGCATCTTAAGAAAAAGTATATTAAAATAAAATGATTAAATCATTACAGTTATTGAAGACATATGAATTATAAAGCAGAAGAGAGAAGGAAAGAAGGAAAAGATTAAAAAAGAATTTTCATTAAGATACAAGTAACCCCATATGACCAGGGCAAGTGATGGAAGATAGGGAGAGGTACGGGGATCTCTCTGGGATGAAATCATTACATGCGGAGCTTCCACTGGCATGCTAAGGAGCTGGACTTCTCCATGGTTCTTCATGCCGGATAGACTCCTGCAAGGCAGGAGACCTGTGTTCAACCCCTGGGTTGGGAAGTTCCCCTGAAGGAGGGCATGGCAATCCACTCCACTATACTTGCCTGGAGACTCCCCAAGGACAGAGGAGCTTGGTGGGCTACAGTCTATGGAGTCGCAAAGAGTTGGACATGACTGAGTGACTAAGCACAGCACATAACTCTACAATCACCTGGTGAACTTTTTAAAAACGTTAGTTCAGTTGCTCAGTCGTGTCTGACTCTATGTGACCCCATGGTCTGCAGCACGCCAGGCCTCCCTGTCCATCACTAACTCCCAGAGCTTGTTCAAACTCATGTCCATCGAGTCGGTGATGCCATCCAACCATCTCATCCTCTGTTGTCCCCTTCTCCTCCCTCCTTCAATCTTTCCCAGCATCAGGGTCTTTTCCAATGAGTAAGTTCTTTGCACCAGGTGGCCAAGTTATTGGAGCTTCAGCTTCAGCATCAGTCCTTCCAATGAATATTCAGGACTGATTTCCTTTAGGATGGACTGGTTGGATCTCCTTGCAGTCCAAGGAACTCTGAAGAGTCTTCTCTAACACCACAGTTCAAAAGCATCAGTTTGTCAGCGCTCAACTTTCTTTATGGTCCAACTCTCACATCCATACAAGACTACTGGAAAAACCATAGCTTTGACTATATAGACCTTTGTCAGTAAAGTGATGTCATTTACTTTTGAATATGCTGTCTAGATTTGTCATAACTTTTCTTCCAAGGAGCAAGCATCTTTTAATTTCATGGCTGCAGTCACCATCTGCAGTGATTTTGGAGCTCAAGGAAATGAAGTCTGTCACTGTTTCCATTGCTTCCCCATCTATTTGCCATGAAGTGATGGGGCCAGATACCATGATCTTCATTTTTTTTAATGCTGAGTTTTTTCACACTCCTCTTTCACTTTCATCCAGATGCTCTTTAGTTCCTCTTCGCTTTCTGCCACAAGGGTGGTATCATCTGCGTATTTGAGGTTATTGATATTTCTCCTGGTAATCTTGATTCCAGCTTGTGCTTCGATCAGTCTGGCATTTCGCATGAGGTACTCTGCATATAAGTTAAATAAGCAAGCTGACAATATACAGCCTTGATGTACTCCTTTCCCAATTTGGAACCAGTCTGTTGTTCCATGCCCAATTCTAACTATTCCTTCTTGATCTGTATATAGATTTCTCAGGAGTGAAACTGACCTGCATACGGATTGCTCAGCAGTGAAAAATATTAGGGGCTGCCTCTAACCCAGGTCAACAAAATCACACTGGTATATTAAAAGATATTAGTATAGTTAAGGGATTTATCTAGGGCTACTTGTTATTTTGGTTTAATGATTTATGTCCGTGTTTGTTTGTCATTACTTTGGCCTTTGATTTGTCTTGGGAGGGAGGTCAAGCACATGATCAGTGGTACGAATCTAGAGAACTCTGGTGATATGTAAGGGGAAGACGGAGTGAGGAGAACAATCTATTAAGTCACTACCAAACTGAGCAGAATAGGGCGGGGCTCTGATCACATGGGACCCTGAACATTTTGGTGTTGATGCAGCCTTGGCTTTGGGAACCAAAGGCAACCCGAGGTCACCGTGAGAGTGTCAAGCAACAGAGACCTAACTAGGGCTGTGCACATTCTGTTTCTTGGTCCACCTCGGCTCCCTGCACATATAATTTCACTTTATGGGCAGCTTCACATGGAGAAGAGCAACCCTAAGTTAGATAGTGCCCCCTACAGAATTCAGCCCAAGGTCACCTATTATAAGGATTACAAAACAAAATAAAACAAAGTAAAGCATTAAAATTCAATAATATTTTTAAGTCAAATCAACTAATGGTCTAGGATCATCAGTCAACTTTCTATTCTGCCCTTTTCCTCCTCAAGCAGAGTATGAGTTCCTGGAGGATTTTTACCGTGTGTTGGCACTGCCAATAGCCTCCACTGAGTGATGGGAATTAGACAAAACTGTTGGGAGGCAGAAGGCTGCCTGAGTGGCAACCATGTGAACACCGCAGAACGCAATAAGTAGACACTCTCCGAACTTTCAGGTTCAGCAGGAGAGACTGTGAAATAGTAATTACATATATTTTCTGTTGAAAAGGAATAAAACTCAACTTGACAAGTGCATTTTAAAAGCACTCAAAAGGAGCAGCAAGGTACAAATTTTCTGCGAAAATCACAGACCCTCATTAGTCATCTCACGACAAGTGAAAGGAAAATGAGAAGACAGAGGCCACCCACCTCCTCTCGGTATCTTGCTGCGTTCAGTTCGACAAAATCCTCACGGTAGTTCACTGAGAAGTTGAGGGCATTAACCAGGTGGGCGGCCACGTGCACACCTACAGAATCACACCAGTCAGTGGGGTTTTCAGATATTCTCAATAAAGGGGAGTTGGTTCCTCTCCTTACACAAACACAGGGTCACACTTTGACAACCATGTAGGCAATAAAATGTTCAGTTAAAAGGGAAGTCTTAAAAGCACAAAGAATCTTACTTATACACAGTTTTAGCATGAGAAATAATGTAAAGAAACAGAATTTTCAATAGCCGAAATAAAATAACCCTAATAAGTCAAGAGTTATAAATACACCAACACACACTGACACACATACGCACACATATGTGTATAATAATACAGGAATTTATTTATTCACTTAAGCATCTCCTGAATACAGTAACCACCACCCCCCCTTACTCATTGTTTCACTATCTGCAGCTTTAGTTACCTGTGGTCTGAAAACATTCAGTGGAAAATTCCAGAAATAAACAGTTTAGAAGTTTTAAATTGCATGCTGTCCTGAGTGTGATGAAATCTCTGGCTGTCCCGCTCCATCCCACTTGGGACACGAGTCATCCCTTAGTCCAGCACAGCCCACCCGTTGGCCACTGAGTAACGGGCTTGGTTATCAGATCCACAGTCTGAGACACTGCAGTACTTGTGATCAAGTCGCCCTTGTTTTATTTAATAATGGCCCCAAACGACAAGAGTAGTGATGCCAGCAATTCAGATATGCCATAGGAAGCTGTAAAGGTGAAAAGGTGAACGTTTCTTTAAGTGAAAAGGAGAACGTTTCTGACTTAATGAGGAAAAGAAGTTCCCTATGTTGATGGTGCTGAGATTCACAGCAAGAGGGAATCGTCTATCCCAGAAACGGGAGAGAAAAAAGGATTTTGTGCTCACTCTGCTATTACACCCTAAACTGCAGAAGTGACCAGCCGCAGCGCATATTCAGTTAAGATGGAAAAGCATTTAACTGGTACAATAAGGTACCTTGAGAGAGAAGAGGATCACATTCATTTAGTTTTTATTATAGCATATTGTTACAATTGTAACATTAGTAATTATTGCTAATCTTTAACTGTGCCTAATTTATAAACTAAACTTTATTGCAGGTGTGTTTGTATAGGAAAAAACAGTACATACAGGATATATAATCACTGATTTCAAGCATTCACTGGAAGTCTTGGAAAGTATTCCCCATGGATAAGGGGGAACTGCTCTATTATATATTTCCCAATCTTTCACCTCTCCTATAGCACCAAACCTGTTATATATTTTGTATACTTCACTGACACTCAACCTAACATAAAAGCCCATGAAAAGGCTTTTAACCAGTCAACATTTTTCACAGTCCACAGATTCAAGACATAGTGTTTAAATCCAATAGCAAAAGTGTAGTTAACAACTTCATGGGACAAAAACTCAGGAAGATAATAATCACCATTTAATAACCTGCCTACAATGGTGTGCTAATGAGTAGTCAACTGACTCAGAGCTTACACCAAAGAGTTAGGAAATTACTAGAGAGTGAAGAGAAATTCCTTTTGGCATTGTCAGAAAAAAGAAAATTATTATGAGGTTAGAGAAGAAAGAAGCAAATGACTTTTTGCACAACACTATAATAGCCTCCTCCCTTCTCAAGCTTTCCTTGTAGATGAAATAAGGTTAAAATTAACGGCACATTACAATGTACTGGAAAGAGCAACATTTAATTAGTTAGAAAACCTGTTTTCTTGCCCACATCATTTGCCTGCTAATGCCTCAGTTTACTCTTCTGTAAAATGGTGATGACAGAAATAAGAGACTTAATAAGATAAATGAACCAAAATTGCTTAGGAAAACATTACAATTTATACTTTAAGGACTGTTGTGATTCAAAAAAAGACATGGCCTGGAAAGTGAAAATTCTACAACCAATCCAACCTAGCATATGAGATGTATGTAGATGGGCCAAGAGTTCTGAATTACTCCCAAAGACAGTTGAAAGTGAGAGAGAAGGGACAGAACGCTAAATTATCTAGGGGGTTATTTAAAGGATTCATAAGCTGCTGTCAGTGCCCAGATTAAAGGAAGGAAAAGGGTCCTACAAATAAACAGACAGGAAATTGAAAGTGGGTTAACTAACATGAAAAGACAGAGTTCCAAAGAAATAAAGGCTGTCTAGGTGATACTCAACTATGGCATAGATATGAAACATTATTGAAGCAAAACTGTGTCCTACAGCTTCAGCATTTCTAAAATCTATAGGAAAAAAAAAATCCCTCTATTATACACAAAAGGCTTACATGTTCACTACATATTTTACTCCTCAAAAGTTCAAAGGCATCCTAAGAGGAAATACCATTCTTTTTAATTTTCCCGAAAAAAGTGCCCTAGGTAAGAGCTATATGAGAGATATCTTTAAGAGATAACATCCACCTTCCTTAAGAGGTTTTCTGTGTGTGTCCCCAGTCATTCAGTCGTATCTGACTCTCTGTCACCCCATAGACGTAGCCCACCAGGCTCCTCGGTCAATGGCGTTCTCCCGGCAAGAATACTGGAGTAGGTTGCCATTTCCTCCTCCAGGGGATCTTCCCAACCCAGGGGTCAAATCTGTGTCTCCTGCACTGGCAGGCATATTTTATCACTGAGCCAGCTGGGAAGACCCTAAAAAGTTTTTGAGATTGAAAGAATTTGCAGCTTTTGACTTTAGGCAGCAGAGAGAAAGTGATGGGCTTTGTGTGGATTTTCTCATTTCATCCTGTTTTACAGATAATACATCCCTATTTTACAGATAAGAAAACTAAGGGTAAGCTAAGGGGCTTTGCTGGTGGTCCAGTGGTTAAGAATCCACCTGACAATGCAGGGGACATAGGTTCAATCCCTAGTCCTGGAAGATCCCACATGTGCCACAGCTACTGAGGCCTGCTACAAACAGAGAAAGCCCCCAGCAGTGAAGACCCAGTGAAGTCAAAAATAAATAAATCTTTAAATCAAGAAGAAAAGAAAGGTGGCTTAACTATGGTCAGAGCCCTAGTGAGCGGCAGACTGCAAACCCTCTGAATCACAAGCTCAGTCATGGCAACACTCTACACTATCTCAGTCTCTAGGTTGTTCTCCAATTGATGGAATATTTGGACACAACCACTGCTTAGAAAAAATCAAGTGACGAATGTGCCAATGTTTTCTGATCATCCTCCATTTTTGACCTTTCACTCTCTAGCTTTAATCCAACCCTAACCCTTACCACAAATGCAACCCACTCCAGTATTCTTGCCTGGGAAACCCCATGGACAGAGGAGCCTGGAGGGCTACAGCTCATGGGGTCATAGACTTGAATATGACTGAATGACTAAGCCAACAAACACAATAGCACTGAGAAAATCTACTCATGAGGTTGTAAATTATAATAATTAATTCTGTCCTAGAACTTCACACACATGTTTTCATTTTCTTAAAACCATGAGGTAGGCGCTGCTGTCAATCCACTTTACAGTTAACAACAAACTGAAGATCAGAGAGATTATGTCACACAGTAGGGCAGATGGGCAGCTGGGGATAGACCTAAACAATCCATTGACAGAGTCCATGTGCTTCCCAGGAGGCACTACGGTGGAAAACCTGCCTGCTAATGCAGGAGACAGATTTGATCTCTGGATCTGGAAGATACCCTGGAGAAGGAAATGGCAACCCACTCTTGTAGTCTTGCCTGGAGAATCCCATGGACAGTGGGGCCTGGCAAGCGATAGTCTAGAGTTTCACAAAGAATCAGATATGACTAAAGTGACAACATGCACACACTTAATAAAAATGTTTGTAACTTTCTGTTTCAAACCTTTGCTCAGGATAAACATTTATTTTAAAATGACTCTTAAAAATCAAAGATTCTCACTTTACATTTTAACTTGGAATTGAGCAGAATAAACTTCCACAATTTTGACACTTGCTCTTCTGCCCAAGTAGTAATATCAAGGAAACATTTAACAAATATAATTTTGAAGGAATCATATTCTATGAATGCACATTTCACATTTTAATTTTCAAGAATTTAAACTTCTATCATGTCATTTCTTTTAGAGGTTGAAAACTTTTAATCACCTTCTTCCAATCTTTCTAAATGAAATTATTTCCTTTTAGAAAAACAATCAGTACCAGCTTAAGGACCAAACTTTGTATACACACACACATATATATTTATATACAAGTATATATACATACCTGACGTACCCATTTTCTGTAACACCACTAGATAAATTTCTTTACACACATGGAAGAGAAAACTAAGCTACATAATAAGAAAACCATAAACAGTAAAAATGCCATCCATAAAATGTTCTAACATAATATTTAACATCTTTTGTTTTTCCTCACCTGAGAAAATACAGATAGTCACACCACAGGTTATGTGGAATGTTCTGCTTTTATCCAACAATCTTCTGGTTCTCCGGCTTGGAACCTAGATTAAAAAAAAAACTGAATATGATAAAAGTGATGCAGCAAATTAGTTACATGCACAAAGCTTTGGAAATAGGGCAGAGGTCTATCAATTAAAACCTTGATAAGATGAAGTACAATGACTCTAGTCAGTGGAACACTCAAATCACTAGAGAGAACGTGAAGAGGCTTAGTATTGATATGGAAAGACACACAAGATATATTGTTAGGTAAAAATGTTACAACCCATGAACTACACTATGATCCTATATTGTTTAAAATTAATAGCACTGTATATGTTAACATACTTGCAGGCATTTTTCTCAAACTGTGGTTGTGCTGGCAGAGCAACATTAGGGGGAGCCTTCACGGATAACTTTGCATATTTCTGCAGTGTTTTCATTTTACAATACGTGCGATTTCCTTTTGTGGTCAAAAACTAAGATTATTTTAAAATAAAACAATTTCATCTACAGATTTAAATGCCTGCTTGATCTTGTACAAAAATAAAACGTCAAGCATCTTTGAATACTATGTTTCACACTGGGGGACAATTCTCTAAGTCTTATTAAATGCTGAGAGACTTAGGTGGGCACTTTCCATTTCCTGCCATTTATCTTTTTCTTCATACCAAGCCAATGGCTAGCCACAGGGATCTAAACCTAGCATTTCACAATAGCTGGCAACCTACAGAAAGTGCTATTTCCACAAATTACTGCATTAAGAGTAAAGAGTTTCTAAATATAATTTCATGAAAAGATTGAGAACTTTAACTGCAGTAAATCCACTTACATGAACTTCAAAGAACATCAAAATGACCTCATGTTAACAACTCCTTTCAAAATATCAGTATCGATGCAGTAGTGCCTAACTATCTTAGTGAAGAAAGCAATAAAGACACACGTACACAAACACACACACACGGACAAGACAAGACAGAAAACAATTTCAGTTGGATTTTTAACTTTAAAGAGCTTTTCTCTTTTCTCAAATCCTTTCTTTCACATTCAAATATCATACACGACATCACATCATATCCAAGAACTCTATTTCAAGTCACTGACACAGCTCAAAACAGGAATGTGTTTTAAGAAACTGCCAACGCCAGCAGTCATTCTGTGTATTAATCCAAGTCCACGGGGCTCTTGGTCTTCCCTGGTGGTTCAGACGATAAAGAATCTGTCTGCAATGCGGGAGACCTGGGTTTGATCCCTGGGTTGGGAAGATCCCCTGGAGGAGGGCATGGCAACCCACTCCAGTACTCTTGCCTGGAGAATCCCATGGACAGAGGAGTCTGGCTGCTTACAGTCCATGGGGTCGCAAAGAGTTGGACATGACTGAGTGACTAAGCACAACATAGGGCTCCAGTGTGCTCACCTGAATTTCAGACCATGGTCTGAATTCAGACCATGAAAATTAAGTAGGACTAATGCGATACTTTTACACTTGATTGCTATGCTGGAATCAGTGACTAGAACTTCTTTTTTCTTACCTTCTGCGATCCTCGAAGGTAAGCCAGGAGCGTGCGGCACACGGGTAAGAGGATAAGGCTGCAGTTGAGGTTAAGAACAGATGCAGAGGCTCTGCTTAGACACAATCCTAGCTGAACAAATAAGGCAAGAGTCAAAACACAGTCAAGGACACAAGTAGACTACAAACATGCTGCCGACCTCAGCCTGCAGAATCATGGCAAACGCCAGCTCCTTCACGGGTCTTAAATAACCCTCCACCTTCTCTCTTACCAAAAGACAGCCTGGTCTCTCTCTCTTCTGCACTGCCAAAAAACGTAGCCTCCTCTCATTTCTCCTAGTGTTCTCATCACCTGATTACATCATTTCAGGACAAGGTCAATTTCTTATTCCACTCCTTCTATAATGTTCTGCGTGGTAAGAGCCCTAAAGTTTCAGAATATTCTGTGCATCCACACAGGTACAGAGTTGAATCCTTTGTTCACTGATAAGTTAACAAGAATTTCAAACAAAGGCTTTTTCAATTGTGTACTCTCTGGAGCACTCTGAGCCTCCACATAACTCCCTTCCACACTAGGACCTGCCTTTAAGCTCTTCACCTTACCGACACTACTCATCTTTCAGGCTTCCTCTTAAGCACTCCTCCTCTAAAGTTCTTCCCTGATGCTTCCCTGATACCACATAAAAAAGATAGTATTCCATATACAATGGAATACTACTCAGCCATAAAAATGGAATAATGCCATTTGTATCAACCTGGACTGGGCGGACCTAGAGATTATCACACTAAGTGAAGTAAGTCAGAAAGAGAAAGACAAATACCATATGACATCACTTATACGTGGAATCTAAAATATGACACAAATGAACTTATCTATGAAACAGAAACAGGCTTGCAGATAGAGAAAAGACTTATGGTTTCCAAGGCAGAGGGGAGTGCAGGAGGATCGGATTGGGAGTTTGGGGTTAGTGGATGCAAAGTATTATATACAGAATGGATAAACAACAAGGTCCTACTATATAGCACAGTGAACTATATTCGATATCCTGTGATAAACACTAATGGAAAGGAATATGAAAAAGAATACACATATATGTATAACATATATGCATAACTGAATCACTTTGCTGTACAGAAAAAATTAACATAACATTGCAACTCAACGAACAAAATAAGCAAATACGATATTAAAAAAAAAAAAAAAAGAGGTCTTCCCTAACCCAGAACCAAGAGAGATCCCAGATCAACTGTGCTTCATACAAAGCTGATCATAACTACACTATACAACGTATTTTTCAAAGACTCACACCCCTCTGGTATGATCCCATACTTTTTGGCAACTAATTTTAAATCAAATTCCTGCTAGATTGACATCCGCTGTTGTCTGATACTATCTACATTCTTCATGCGAATGGTGCATCACACGAAAACTAGAGATGGGGTCATAGTTGTGCACTTGGCTTGGAATAAACACAAAACTACTTTATGTTAAGGGTATCAACTAAGAAATAGGTGTAAGTCAAATGCTTTACTTATCTTAAAATTGCTCATGACCCTGAAATTCCCAACTTAACTCCTGGCAAAACAGCAACTCTGTTACATAGTGTTTATTGTCAGCACATGAAATATTATTCCTGAAGGGAAGACAGGGTAAGAAGCCAGGTCAGGAAAGCCATAATTTTCATTGAGTTATATGAAAGTAATTAATCTTTCCAGTTAGGCTATTTCTCCACCATGAGTTTGAACACCTCAGGGATACAGTTCAATGAGTATACCAGTAAATGGACAAACAGAAACAATCCTCTGTGGACTATCTAAAAAAAAATTGTTAAATATAATTTTCTCACATCTGCAAGCAAAATGATCATTTCAGAGGGATAAGTTTTTGTTGTTTAGGCCTCCAGAGAAATAGAATAATTGTTATCTCTTTTTAATCTGGATGTGCATATAAGAAAATTTTAGCTTGAGGGATTTTAATGATAATTTTATCTGCAGTTCTAATGTACTAGGACAATAACTCGCTTAAATACATCTGCTAAAATCTATCATGTATGTTCAAGACTTAAGAAATACACATAAATTATTTAAATTTTCTTTGTGGTTCAGTGCTTTAAAGAAAATTCTTATATATTTTGTATTTTCTAACCATTTATTGAATATCTGGAAGTGTTTTATTGCTGTGTTTACATTAAATCACAGTAATTTAATTCAAAGTGGCTTTAAGTGTCTACTTGGGATAAATGAACCTTATTTTAGCATTCCACTTCTTCCTTATGATGCTGCAAAATCTAACTGGAAATTTTACCAAGGACTCATTTCCTCATATATGTTTGTTCCTGAATATGGTTAGTTCTTTAAACCAAGATGAAAATTCCTTTTTATTAGGTTATCAGAGTACAAAACTCTCTCATTCAGAAGCAGTCAAGACAGTAAGGAAACGGAGACAGATTTCAGTTAAGTGGCACAATCATAGGAAAACATCTAATCCACTTACTACATGGATAGTATTCTACAGCTAAGATTTGTTTTATTTAGTCATTATTAATTCATGATCTTCATAAGGATCAGCTACTTCAAGTGTTCACTAAAAAGAAATGTCTTCCTAAGTTATGTGTCCAGCCCATTCCATGTGGATGACATGTTCTACCATTCCTGGAGAGCTTAACCTGCTACTCTAGTTTTCGAATTTCATTCAGGTTAGTTATCACTAGATGGCAGCATGACTTTCATGGTTCAAACCTTACCTGTGAAGATCTCAAAAAGTGTGAAAGTGTTAGATGCTCAGTTGTGTCTGACTCTTTGCAACCCCATCAACTATAGTCCACCAGGCTCCTCTGTCCATGGAATTCTCCAGGCAAAAATACTGGAATAGGTAGCCATTCCCTTCTCCAGAGGAAATTCCTAACCCAGGGATCAAACTCCTGCATTGCAAGCAAGTCTCAAATGTAATTGAAAATTCCATGTGTAAAATTTTAAAACTAGAAATATATTTTAGATGAGTATGTATAAATAACACATAGTTTGGTCCTTCCTATGGACTAAATGTTTGTGTCCCCCAAATATATACATTGAAACCCTATCATGATGGTATTTGAAGGTGGAGCCTTTGGTAGGTAATTAGGTTTAGACAAGATCATGAGAGTAGAGCCCCGAGATGAGATCAATGCAGTGAAAGAGAACTACAGAATATGAGCACGTATATAACAGGGAATGTGGTCTAAATAGGAAGATCAGGTAGGCTTTCTGGACTAAATGAAAAGTGAACCGAGATCTGAATGGTGAGCAGAAGTCATTTAGGAATGAGAAGAACATTTATGCAAAAAAAAAAAAAACACCCAGCATGAAAACTGATGTGCAGAAAATGGGAGCACATTGTATACACGAGAAACTAATAGTAGGCCAATACGGTTGGACTGGAAATGGAGAATGGTATAACATAAAACTGGAGAAGCGGGTAGGGCTAGACCTTGTTGAACTTTGTAGGTCATATTAAGAATGTGTGTGTTTATCCTAAAATCAGCGCAGAGCATTATGTCATGAGCAGGGAGGTGGTAAGTAGACACTGAATTTGGCAATGATAACTCTGAATGAAGTGTGCACAACTAATTGGAAGAACATAATTTGGGCAATGGCACTACTTTGTGTAGTTAATCATCACAAAAGTGAAATTTTGTTTGAGACAAGAAATACATTTTATGGTAATTATATATGAACCTTACATATAGAAACGATTCAGTTTCAACTAAATAGTTTATCAGTAAGTTTATTTTGCTAAATAATTTCCTAAAACATATACATCTAAAATCAGAGAACTAAAATGGTCTAATCCACATGCCACCATCAACCCAGTGTCTAATCTCTCATAAGAGTCCTAACGAAAGGCAATATACACCCTTAGTTGACTATGTCCAGAGAGAGCAAACAGTTCCACCATCAAAAACTTCTATTTTGTTTTCTTACACTTACATGAAATATGTGTCTTTATAACTTCTACCCACAAGGCCACTCTGGATAAAAATATTCTAAAATACACATTAAAAAACTGAAGCTAAAACTAGGATGGCTTCAGGACCTCCCTGGAGGTCCAGTGGTTAAGACTCTGTGCTTCTAATGCAGAGGTGTGGGTTCGACTCCTGGGTGGGGAACTAAGATCATACATGCCACGTGGCACTGCCAAAAAATGGAAGAGAAAAGTAGGATGATTTTCTAGCTCACTCTTGTTTTCTTCAGGTTAAACACAATTCTTTAGGCCTCTAAAATTCTTGCTAAAATTTTAAGACTCCCCCATGAAAAAAGTAGTGAAAAACACTAGACCATTCAGGCATAGTCTAAATCAAATCCTTTATGATTATACAGTAAAAGTGACAAACATTTAATGGGGAAGATCTGATAGACAGAGTTCCTGAAGAACTATGGATTATAATATTGTACAGGAGGCAATGACCAAAACGATCCCCAAGGAAAAGGAAATGCAGGAACATATAGCTGTTTGAGGAGGCCTTACGAAGGAATATCTGAGAAAAGAAGAGAAGAGAAAGGCAAAGGAGAAAGGGAAAGATATACCCAGCTTAATGCAGAGTTCCAGAGAATGGCAAGGAGAGATAAGAAAGGCTTCTTAAGAGAACAATGCAAAGAGATACAGGGAAACAATAGACGGGAAAGACCACAGATCTCTTCAAGAAAACTGGAGCTACCAAGGGGCAATTTCAAGCAAACATGGACACAATAAAGGACAGAAACAGCAAGGACTGAACAGAAGCAGTTGAGATTAAGAAGAGATGGCAAGAATACACAGAAGAACTATACAAAAAAGGCATTAATGACCCAGATAAACATGATGGCATGGTTACTCACCTAGAGCCAGACATCCTAAAGTGTGAAGTCAAGTGGGCCTTAGGAACCATTACTACAAAGTTAGTGGAGGTGACAGAATTCTAATTGAGCTATTTCAAATCCCAAAAGATGATGCTGTTAAAGTTCTGCACTCAATATGATAGCAAATTTGGAAAACTCAGCAGTGGCCATAGGACTGGAAAAGTTGAGTTTTCATTCCAATTCCAAAGAAAGGGATGCCAAAGAATGTTCAAACTATAAGACAACTGTGCTCATTTCACATGCTATGTAATGTTCAGG